TTTAATTTTTAATTTTTTATATAGTTCTATGTTACTGAAATCATCATTTCTTAATTTTATACAGTTGTTTTTTGAAGTATGCATTTTTGATTTATTTTTTATTAAATATTTAGTTTTGTTCTTCAAAAAACATTTTATTTATTAAATTAATTTTTTTGTTTTATAGATTTTAGTTCTCTTTTAATAATATTGAATTTTCTTACTTTGTTTTAATGCTCTTTTATTTTATTTTATTTTTTTAATTGGTTTGTTTATTTAATTTTTCATTTAGTTCTGTGTTGCTTAAATCATTATTTCTTAATTACATAATTTTTTTTTTTTTTTAATTTATTTTTAAGTTGTTTATTAATATTTTTCTAGTTTTTTTTTAAATCTTTGTTTATATATTAAATAAATTTTTAAATTAAATTTTGTTGATTTCTTTAATTTTTTTTAAGTGTGTATATTAATTTTATTCTAGTTTTGTTTTTTAAATTATTGTTTCTGTATTAAATAATATTTTTATTTAATTTTTTTTTTGTTTAGTTCTCTTTTAATTTATTGAATTCTTTTATTTTATAGTTTATTTTATTCCCAATTTTTTATTCAGTTTTTTGCTATTGAATCATTGTTTTTTAATTAACATTTCTATTGTAATTCAATAGTTTATTTGTAGTTTATTCCATTTAATTTTTTTTATTTTATTTTTTTTTTCATTTTTCTCTATGTATTGTATATTTTACCTGATTGATTTAATAATTTATATTTACTCAATTACTATTATTTGTATATTATTTTGGTTTTTTCTTTCATTTCATTTTCGATTACTTTATTTTATTACCTCTACTTTTTTTTTATTTAATATATAATTTACTTTCGAAAGTTTTTAATGGTTTTTTATATTTTTTTAATGTTTTTTTTTCATAAAAATTATTATTTTTTGAGTATAATTTTTTATTTTAATATTTTTATTATATTGTTTAGTTATGTTTTTCTTAAATTTTAGTTTAAGTTTTTTAATCAAATTAAATTTCTTTTATTTTTTTATATTAGTTTTACTTTTCATGATTTTTATTAATTTGTTTTCCATAAAATTATTATTTTTTGCTCCAAAATCTGGAAAAATAACACTTAAAGCCAATGGCAAATAATCAAATATTGTATATATATTTTTACTACATTTGGGATCTGTATTTTTTGTTTTAATAACTACTCTTTAACACACATTCTTCAAAGACTTTTTCAGAAATGAACTTTTTGCAAAACTAAAAACAATCGAAATCGTGTCATCTTAAATTTTATTCCCACTGTCCCGTATGCATGTGTGATTCCCTTTACAGTCATTTATCTACCGAATGGGTTACGGTTAAATATATACAAATATGCACTAGTCAAATAAGTACATATCAATTTGTGTGTATATGTATGTATATAGATCTGAATTTTATCTACATATGTACATATGTATGTACTATATGTGTATACAAATGTCGGCTTCCTAGACTTCACGTCTACGTTGTCTACGTTTCGAATTTTTCGCACAGCATGCCACAAGAGGGTTCTCTCCCTTGTTAAGAATACCGTAAGATTTAGTTTTAAAACTAGAGCAATAGGTTAATATAGATGGTGTAAGTATGTATGTATGTATGCATGCACATTCGAGATTTACTGTAATCAAATATTTTCTCCGTGGACATCCAAACATATATATATATATATAGATATTTGTTTTTATTGCCATATACATATTTATATGAGCATAGCCTGCAACTCTTCGCAGCAGTATCCTTATGTGTGTGTGTGTGTGTGTGTGTGTGTGTGTGGGTGCATGTGGGCGAGTGTGTACAAGTTTAAATATTTCACACTTGCACTTGAGTTTGTCGACTTGTGTTTACAAAACTTTCTGTAAATCATACACACGCACACATACATACATGAGTATATTTGTGCGTGTTTCAACCTTGAAAGTTGTATAATAAAATTAAAAGAACCAAAATGTGCGAAGCCACTAACTAACAAACTTTTAGTTAGACAAGTATATACATATATATATATATATATATATATATATGTCTACCTCTTGTTAAGTATATGTGTAAGGCCAATGCTGGCTTAATATAAATTTGTATATGTTTGTTTTGCAAAACTTTTTAAACACTTGGCACATTTGCGTTATGCCGGGTTTTTTAGAGGCAGACAGTTTGTCTGGAAAGTTTCCAAATGGCTCTTTTAGCCTCAACACCCCCTCCTCCTCTTCTGCTTCCTCATGATCACCTCAATTTCGAATTTTCTTGCACTTTTACTGCTCTGTGATGCAACGTAAAAGTCACTACCGTTCGTTTATGTTGTATATATATATATATATATATATATACATATTCAGTAAATGTTTGTGGCTGCGTGTGTTTTTATAGTTGCATATTTATATTTTCTGACCCAAAATAAGCTGCTCATATATGTAAATTGCATTTGTAGGTGTGAATATTATTTCATTGCTTTGTTAAATAAACAATTTAGTGCAGTAGTTTTGTTTAAGGATTTTCGTTTGCTGTTGCAAGCGCGTTTTATTTTCTCCTTCCTTTCTGTATATGAATATGGTTATTAAACAATGGAAAGTGTTTCGAAAGAAACTTTAAGCCAAATATGTTTTGGAGTGATGTTCTCATGTTAAATACTGTTAAATGTATAAAAAATATTTTTCAGAATGCATATATACAAGTTACTTTAAGTATTAGAGAATATTTCCCTCAAGACTTTATATATGACAGTTGCCTTTCATTTTTCAGGATTAGAGAAAAAATAAAATAAAATAAAAAATACTAGTCATAAAAAATCCCTTTATCGTTTTCGAAAATATTCCCCATTAAGAAGGTCTATACACTTTTGTATGCTTTTGAACAAATTGTCGATCCACTTTTGCCACTCTCATTAAGGTCTCTTCAAAGCATGCGTGCTGAACGCAACAATAGCCTATTCAGGTGGAGAAAAATGACGACTTCTAAGTCATAAAAAGAAGTCATTCGGAGCCAAGTCAGGGCTCAAAAATACAGTTGTTTCACTCAATGTGGTAAGGAATGATTTCAGGTTGCCATAGACGTCTTTCGAAGCATTGCTATCGTATTTTCTACCATTCCTTTGATTGACAAATTGTGAGGAATTTTTTTTCTTTGCAGTCAATCGTTCATGCATTATTGAATGTTTCCCGGTTCCACTAGTGCCTCAGTTATCTGAATCTCACGATATATCACATGACGAACCAGCAGTATTAGATTTTAGTTGATCTTCACGAAATTCGTTTTGGAGTGATCTACTACCTGGATTGAATCCACAATGCCATCGATAAACACTTATGCTTGATGGAGCTTCAGCGCAATTCAGCGATTCAATCAAATTCATTGATGTTTTGTTGCCGAGTTAATTCGCATAGAAAGTTGTCAAAAATAATACGAGTTAATTTCATTATTTGTCTGGGATAAATAATTTAAGTTTCTATAAACAACACAAATAGCATTCGTATGTCAAAACGAACTGAGTATGTGTACATCAAACTTGTTAAACTTTCCGATGAAGTTGTCGGTTGTAAGATTGCAATACTAGAGTTGCTTAAGAAAAAAAAATTGTATTACTGGAAAGGAGGAACACTGTCTACTTCATTCGCCATCTTAACATTTTTAATACAATGATATTAATTGTCCGTTTATGCATCAGCTTCGTACCAGTTAAATACTAGTTCAGGTATCAAGTTAAATCTCTACTTCTTAATACTAAACTTAAGGAAAAATTAGATCATTGCCGTAATAGAATATCGGTTCTTGCACTCCTTTAAGCTAGGACGGAGTATAAATTTGAGGCTTAGGTATCAAGTCGACTCTGGTACCAAGTAGTGGCATACTAATTTTTTTCATTATCTACTCCCTTAATAATAGACACGTCAATATTAATGCCGGTTTGCTAATAAAAAAACAATTTTTAAAAGTAAAGACAGACTAAGACTAAAGTACTAATTTTTTCCTAATCCATTGAGTTTGTGTCATGAAAACTGGCGTATTTTCGTTTTGCCAGACCAGGAAACATAATTTCCATTATAAGATGTTTATGGCAGATGAAATTTGTTATGATTTAATTAATATCCAGCTATAATGGCAGATGAAAATACACTACTCTGGCAAAAAATATACCGAAACTTCCGAAATGGTTACACTACTAATGACAGCATCGACTGTTAACATATCGTTTTCTGTTAAATAATCGAAAGTGAGTTGACTGACCTTGAAAGGTGAGTTACCACACTTTTATACAACAACAAACATATGGGAATCCACACCAACCAATATAAACCTCTTACTGAAGGGGATATTAGTTTAATTAACAAATATGTTTGCTACTTCCACTAAAACGACGATATATTAAGAGAATATATGCACTTTGGCTTCCCTGGACTTTGTTCTCTTTGGATCTATTCGTTACATACGAAGTTATATGCAAGAAAACTTTGCAAAAATAATTGAAGCTGAAGAAATCGAGTAGCCAGGCAGCGCAGCACATAATCGTACATACATAAAAAACACTCGAATCTCTTTGAACCCGTTTTTTAGGTTTGAGCTGTTATGTAAAATATTTAATTTTTCGTCATTATTTTTAAACTTAAAATATTATTTACAACAACACATACCCGTATGTCATCTGTTTAATGTACGACTATCAACTGTGTGAACAGAGGCAAGTTCAAGAGCACGAGAGCTTTTGAGGTGTGTTTTGTACAGAAATGCCTATATACGTATGTATGTTTGTACATACACAATTGTGAATGATGAATTATAAGATACGCTGAGGAGATGAAGTATTTGTGTATGTATTTGTGTTGGGTCAACAAAACTTAATTGAAGTGAATGAAGTTCGTTCTAGGCGAGTGTCGGGCATGTCGTTAACATGACATTTATGCCATTCAAAGTGCCACACTAAATTTGTTTAATGTTTTTGTTGTGTTTAATTTTTTATTTTTATTTTTGGTTAATAATGTTTTGCCACAAAGTAATAAATTTACACATATGTATATACAAAACCGCAACAAATGAGCTGACTAATTAAGCAGGGTAAGGACGGTTGTATATACATAAACTCATACATACATACATGTATATGGCGTATGTGTGCTTTGACAACTACAAATAACTTATTTTATTTGTTTAATATATTTATTTAAAAACAAATAATTGTTGTTTTCGTTCCTTTGCTTAATTCTGTTCCCCTTGGTTTTTTTTGTCTTATATTCGCACTATGCGTTGAAGTCAAGATTTTTTTACGTCAACGCAATAAACAAAAAAAAAAATTAAAATAACATTATGAAAAGTAAAAAGCATTTTAATGCTTGCAGTTTAAACTGAAATACTTTACGAGTTTATTTTGCAATTTCATTTGTTTATCGGCTGAGAAAGCGTCAAGAAGTCGACACGAGTTGACTAAAGTGCTTGTAAATTCAAAATTCTACATCTGTGAATAAAAGGTATAAACGACCAACATTCTTAAATTGTTAAAATTATTAATTTAGCGAAAAGTGATTTCTTTTGCAAAAAAATAAAAAATTAATATAATTTCTGCTTTGTTTCAAGTAAATGTTAAACAACTTAATCTACTATATTAAGCATAATTAAAAACTATACAAATTAAAATTTCAGCAAAGGTAAATAAAAATAATAATAAAAAAATAAAAAACAAAAAAGAAAATTAAAAAAAAAATTAAAAAAAAAATTAAAAAAAATATAAAAAATCAAATAATAAAAATAACAAAATTAATACTGAAAGAAATATTAAAAAAAAAATTATAATAAATGAAATAACAATAAATGAAATAATAATAAAAAAATAATAATAAAAAAATAATAATAAAAAAATAATAATAACAAAAGTATTAATAAAAATAATAATAAAAATAATAAAAAAAAATATAAAAAAGTTAAAAAAAAAATAAATAAAACATTAAAAAAAAAAATAAAACATTAAAAAAAAAATAAAACATTAAAAAATCAAATAAATAAAGTAACAAATAATTAAGAAATGAAAGAAAATATGCCAATGAAAGCATAAAAAAAATTTAATTATAAATAAATTTAATAAAAAATTAGTTTTGAATTAAAAACCATATAAAAAAAAATATCAATTAAAAAAAATAGATTGTAATAAAAGAAAAATAGATAAATAGATTTTAAATAAAAAAATAGATTGTAAATAAAGAAAGAAAACACCAAAAATAAAATAGATAAAAGCAAGCAAAGAAAATCAAATTGATCGAATTAAAAATACAATAGTTTCAAAAATATATTTTAAATGACTCTGCTCTGTTCCGAATGAATGAAACTTAAATAAATAAAAAAATGATAAATTCAAAATAAATTAAAAGTAAAGTAAAATAAAAATTACGAAACAAATATTGTATTAAAATCAAGAATATTGAGAAATAAAATAAAAAATAGATGTTAAAAATAAATAAATAATAATAGTAAAAAAGGAAATTCAAATAAATAAACTCAGTTTAAATTAGACTTTTTAAGTAAATACAACAAATTAAAACTAATTCAGTTTTAAGAATAATAATATTACTAAAACATAAGCTAATTAAAATTAATAAAAAAGTTAAAAAAGAATAAAAAATAAAACAAAAAATAAAATAAAAGAGAAAAATAAGGGAAAATAAAAAATAAAATAAAAGAAAATATAAAGTAAAATAAAAAATAAAATAAAAGAAAATATAAAGGAAAATAAAAAATAAAATAAAAGAAAATATAAAGGAAAATAAAAAATAAAATAAAAGAAAAAAATAAAGGAAAATAAAAAATCAAATAATAGAAAAAAATAAGGGAAAATAAAAAATAAAATAAAAGAAAATAAAATAAAAGAAAAAAATAAAGGAAAATAAAAATAAAATATAAGAAAAAAATAAAGTAAAATAAAAATTAAAATAAAAGAAACAAAATAAAGGAAAAATAAAAATAAAATAAAAGAAAAAAATTAAGGAAAATTAAAAATGAAATAATAAAAATAAAAAATAATATAGAATAAAAAATAAAACAAAAAAAGTAATTTAAAATTTGAATTAAAATAAAATATAGTGAAATAAAACAAAAAAGAAAAAAAAGTATATAAAAAACTAAGTTGTAAAAAATAAAAAAATTAAAATAACTAATCAAAAGTATAAAAAAAATATTAAAATAAAGTTTAATATATAATAATTTAAAAAATTAAATAAATATAAACATAAAAGGACAAAAAAGAATAAAAATTTTTAGCAAATTTTTTTTTTATAAATTTTTAAAAAAAAAAAACTGTGCTTTCTAAATTTAAACTTCTGAAAAAAAGATTCTCATTTTGGAAAAAAGTGGAAATCATAATTATCTGGAATCTGACGAAAAAGTGAAAAATTGCTTAAAAATGCTTAGCGAGAGAAATAAAACTATAAAATGCTTAGATTTTACCATTCCAGTTAAAATGTGTTAAAAATTACAGATAATCAAATTATAAGTAAAGAAAATTGCAATTAAGGTTGAAAAAATTCTAGTCGTTTTGCAAAGTAGCAATTTTGTGATACATATATATATATGTATATTTTTTTTTAAATAAAAATTTTGACAAACATTTTTCAAGTCTGCTAAAAAAATCATAACAATTACATAAACCAACCATACCTTACTATTTAAGGTACGAAATAAAACATGCGGAATATACTACATATGACAGCCGCTCGGTTGGCTCTACTGCTTTTCTGCTTTGGGTGCTTGCAAACTACCACGCACACCTTTGACTTCTTTCGGCAATGGCGACAAAAAAAGGCTGATATAATCTGGAGCCGCCTCATAGGACCGAAAACCGTTGCGGATGTTCACGATGCGTTAGAGGGTAAAACCCTAATAACCGATTTGGATCGTAATATGCGACATCTGTTCGTAAACGTGCGTCGCTATTCAATGAAACGCGCTGATATGGATCAGATATTTGCTACCAATCGCGCTGAGGGCAAAATGCAACCGATCATACCACCAAATCAGCCGTTCCCTTGTGATCTCAGTTATTCGCGCTCGACGTTTCCACCCACCTCGGTGCATCAGTTGCGACCGGGTGATATTGATATTATAGCTTCTATTGGTGATTCACTCTCGGCCGGCAATGGTATTATGTCAGATCGTGTGCTGCACATCCTAAATGAATTTCGTGCATTTTCCTTTTCTGGTGGTGGTTATGGCGATTGGCGTTCGTATTTAACACTACCGAATATATTGCGTGAATTCAATCCGAATCTCTACGGTTACTCAACGGAGAATGAATTGACAGTGGACAGCACATCACGTCTGAATATCGCCGAACCCATGATCATGTCGCGCGATCTGCCATTTCAAGCACGTGTACTGATTGATCGTATGCGTCAGGATCCAAATGTCGACATGGAAAATCATTGGAAACTACTCACAATTTTTGTGGGCAACAATGACATCTGCACTGACATGTGTCACTACGATAATATGACTGAGTTTGTGCGACGTCATGAAATCGATATGCGTCAGACGTTCACTTTACTGCGTGACAACGTACCACGTCTACTGATCAATCTGATACCCGTGCCTAATATGGTCATTTCACTCTATCCCATGGAAAATAAGGTGCCGTTTCGTTGCTTTGCTGTACATCATTTAGGCTGTCATTGTATATTCAGTCATGCCGTTGGTGAGAAAGAACTACATCAGGCTTATGATCGAATCAATCGTTGGCACGAAGTCGATCAGTATGTGGCGCAATTACCAGAATTTCAAACAAATGACTTCGCTGTCGTCTATCAACCCTTCACCGCATATATACAAACTCCAAGGCTGGCAAATGGGGAAACAGATTTTCGTTACTTTGCTAGCGATTGCTTCCACTTCAGTCAATGGGGTCATGCGTCCATGTCGAACTCACTCTGGAATAGTATGCTTCAGCCGATGGGTAGAAAACAACTTAATATGGTGCCGGCTTTCAGCCATTTCGAGTGTCCCACTGAGGAGCGACCCTACATTGCAACACTCTATAATAGTTGGCAAAGAAAGTGAAACTATTTGCAAAAACTTTATTTCTAAATGTGGAGCACTAGTTTTAAGAAGTTCGTTGTTTTGTAAATGATCAAAATAAAATAAAAGTAATGGTTGAAATGTTTTATTAAAAGTCAAGTTAGTTGCCGAACTGATCTCGGACAGTCCCGAATACATCTTTAGTTTGAAATGGTCTAATGAATCTGAAATCGAATGATACTTTTTCCAAAAATACTTTTTTGCCTCCAAAGAACCTAAACTTTGTTATAAAACGGAGGGTTATAGTCTCTACTTTATCAAACAAACATATAAAGACGCCATAAGTTCAATCATCCTTATTTTCAAAGGAATCAATTGCATTGGAAAATGAAAAACCTGCTACCGAGGACAGTCAAGCGATAGACTTTCTGGTATTAATGATTTATTATTGTGTTCGAAGGCGGTCACCATGAATGAGTACTTAGAAGTGCTATTTTCAATCCACTTGGTTCGAAACCTTATAAAAACTTAAATTCCGAATAATATTTTCTAATTACGATCGTTTTTGGGGAGGAATGTAAACAGCTCTTTGTGAAATACTCTCCTGTTCTCTCTCTCTCTCTCTCTCTCTCTCTCTCTTTTGCTCTTCTCTAAACTCTCACACTTGCTCTCCTCTTATCTCTCTCTTTCTTGCTCTCTATTTCTCTCTCTCTCTCTCATTTCTCTCTTTCTTTCTCTCTCTCTCTCATTTTTCTCTTTCTTTCTCTCTCTCTCACTTCTCTCTTTCTTTCTCTCTCTCTCTCTCTGTCCATATTTCTCATTCTCTCTCTTTCTCTCGCTCTATTTATCTCTTTCTCGCTCTCTCTCTCTATTTATCTCTTTCTCTCTCTCTCTCTATTTATCTCTTTCTCTCTCTCTCTCTATTTATCTCTTTCTCNTCTCCCTTTCTCTCTATCTGGTGTGTGTGTGTGTGTGTGTGTGTGCTCTTT